TAAGTAAAATATTGCTTCAATGTAAACGATCGAGAAACAAATCTAGATCCGATGATTAAATGAATGAAAAATCATATGTATTGTATTATTAAACAATAATAATAATAATAATAATAATAATAATAATAATAATAGAAATGATTGAAAAACAGGTGGATACTAGAGAGAGAGCATTGAAGAAGAAGAAGAAGAAAAAGAAGAACAAGAGGATAGAACGAACGTGATTATGCCCCAAATAAGATTGAGCCTAATCACGTTGGTTTTAAATTATATAATAATTAAAAAAAAAAAAATACATTGAAATTAATAATTATTACTAATAATAACGATAATAATAATAATAATAATAATAATAATAATAATAATAATAACGACGTATTTATTATTAAAAAAATAATATCGTCGGCGTTTTGTGTGCAAAAATGATACTGATAAAATGATTAAAAAATTGTCTAAGGAGATAATATAAAAAAAAAAAAAACCAGTTTATATGCACCTGCTCCCAATTGTTCATGCCCAATTTGTATCGCGTAGTTGGATCGATCGATAATTATTATTATTAATAAAAAGAAATTATGGATATAAAAAAAAAATGTGTGGAGATTGCCGCGTATATATATATATATATATATATATATATATATATGTGTGTACATATGTATTGTGCATGCCGTATTGTGCCGGACATATGCATATGCATGTAAAAGCGACAGAAATGAAATGAACTAATGTAACTACTACACCTGCCTCTTGTGAATAAATGCCTATTTGTTTCTTTTCAAAAGCTCTTATATATTATTTGTCATACCTACCCCAATACTCTTATTCGTGTAAAGGTAATTTTGCGTAATAATAAATTCGCAAGACAGCATGATTTTATTAAATAAATACTCCTCGTTTCTCAATATATCCGGATAGTGAATTACACGTTATGGATACACACTCTGATATGCATCTAATATTTATTAGCAAACTTTAAATAATTTTATGAAAACCTATCTTATTGCACACGATCGTCTATTGTCTTTTAAATTTCACTCGACAAAAAATTCGTTGATTCACTTCAATAGTCCAGTTTGGACGGATATTAATAATAATGATGATGATAATTAATAAAAATTTTAAGTACACTGGCCAAACAACACTTGCTAATCATTTTTCCTAATAAATCACACTCTAATTTCATCCTTTTAACTGACTTCATCAATAAGAAACGATATATATATATATATCTATATACACAAATTCGAGATCGTTCAACCCATTGGGCTATAATGTTCAATAGTTCTAGAAGAAATAAACGGACGGAGATTGATGGGAATCAGTCCTCATATATATATATATATATATAGAAAATGAGAAAAACAGTTCTTTTCCTCCGCGAATTATCGACAAAATTGCTACTTCGATCGAAGTAATCATTCATTAAAAAAACTATGCGCCGTAAGGTGTGTCAAAAAATGGACACCTTTAATTTCTCCTTCGTCAAAACAGTCCAAACATTTTTTTAGACGAGCTGTTACTCCTTTTCTTCCTAGCAGGTGCAACCACCTCGGAAGATTCCTTATTTACTGGAGTAATTGTATTAGAATTAGGTGTAAGTTTACTACGAACGTGTTCATCTAATAAAATTTGAACGTCCATCTGCCACTGTTCCAATTGCTGACTGAGCTCAACCTTTTGCTGGATAGCCTCCATCAGTTGACTGTTCGCTTGAAGAACGTCTATCCTCGTTCTGGCTAATTCTACTTCTGCTCTGTTCTTTCTTGCCACCGCTTGATCTCTAACTTGATAAGCTTGAGCTACGACTTCGTCCTTTGTTAATTGCGTATGTTCCATGTCGTTTCGCGCTCTGTCACGTTCTTCTTTAACACCTCTGAGCTCAGCTTCGCAAACGCTGAGTTTGCTCGTTGTCTCGAGCAACGTCTCCCCACGACGTTTCAACTCTTCTTGAGATTGTTTTAACTGTTCTTTCATGTGATTTAATTCTTCTCTAACTCGGTGTAATTCCACAGCTAGGCCTAATTCACCTGGAGCACCTCGACCCGATAACGCCAGGTTGTAGACCTCTTCTACTAATTCCGTTAAAGCTCCCGGATAGTTGACCTAAACACATTTCAAATTCAAAATTAGTTTCTACTTAGAAAATGATGAAATATTAAGTCAAGAATATATTTGGGATATAGGTGGGGGATCCCTGAAACGTTAGGGACGAGACAGGAAACTGAAGAACAAAGGATATCCGAGCTCCCTACAACCAACGCACTTACTTACGCATGCACGTATGCACGCATGCAACACTCAAAGGGATTCTTCATCTCGCTTTAGCTCACCTCAGCTTCGGTATTGTTCGTAATGACAAGCATAGACTCGTCGCAGTCGCTCTGCAAACCCGAGTCGTCCTCTCCTCTACGCAAATGAACGCACAACTCCTTTAGTCGCTTAACTGCCCTTGTAACTTCCGATCTGAGGTCTTCCTGTTCACCCAACGAACTTCCGCTTTCTTCGCACTCCATCTCGACTTGCAGGGACCTTGGTGGTTTTTGAATCGATCCCGATCTCCCTCTTCTTTCAACTTCGATCGCTGCTAAGGCTGCTGCCAACTCGTCTCTACATTATTTTGTCATTTCAATTACTATTACAAATTGATTATTTGTTTGTGAAAATATAATGCACTTGATTGAATTCACCTCTCTTGTTCTGCTAGCCTAGCTCGATGTTCAGCCTCGTGGCCAAGTCGTTCCAAGGCCGCAGCTCTCTCCTCGGCTTCTTCGAGGGCCGCGACCGCCCTGGCTCTCTCCTCTCGTAATTCCAAGGACCTCCTCTCTAATTCCGTCCTCTGAGCCGATACCAATTGTACCTAAAACATTGCCCCGATGTTCTCTCTTCTCGTTTATAAATCGTCTTACAATTATTTGCGATGATAATCGAAATTGGAAAAGGAATAATGCGATAATTGATAGTCAAGATTAAATGAAATGCAACTACGAGCACGCGGTATGCAATTATAAGTCATTTGCATAATTCCTCTGAAAAAAAAAATATCACTAACAATGTCACTTACATAATTATCGCATAATCGCAATAAATAACATTAACTGAAATTTCAGAACACGTCGTCCTTTGATCGTACCGAGGCAGAACGTATTAGAATACCAAGAATTAGAATAAAAAAATAAAAATGAAAGGAGGGTTTTAGCTAGATGTTCTTACCTCATCCCGCAAAATCTCCAAACTACTAACATGATTTTGGAGAGTGTTGTTTCTGTGTGCACACTTGTCACGTAGCAATTTAACTTCGAGGAACAATTGTTCCTCCTGTTTGGCAGCCTCCCTCAACTGATCGGCTAATCTCGCGTTCTGCGCTGTCAATTCTGTCACCAAGGTGGCCTGGTCGCGTTCAGCTCGTCTAGCTCGTTCGTTTTGTTCCTCCAACTGAGCTCTTAATGTTTCTAAATCGGTTTGAAGCTCGATAACTCTAGCTTCGCTTTCGCCTTTAGTTTCCTCCAATCTCCTACGTAACAAATGCCTCTCCTGCTCGAGACTCTAAACAGAGACATACATAGGTGTGTATGAGAATTAGTCTATATATCAGCATGCAAACTGTTTGTAGTTTCCGTTAATGCAATCAAACAAAAAGAAAGATTATGCAGGAAGAAAAACGTGCAGAAAGAAACTCTTGGACACTTTTGCCACGTGCTATTGGATAGAACGTTAGACAACTAATACCGCAGTAATACTTTGAAATACTGTAGTGTGATATATACATATATGTGTATACATATTATGCTTGCGTAAGATCGTATTAGTTTGCTCGTAAAGCTTCCACAATGTACGTAAAGGAAAATCCTCTTTTCTAATTCAACTAATTTTCATACCATATTTTATTGAATTTTTTCATAGATATTTTTCTATATTTTTAATGGAAAGAAAGTTCATTTAAGCTGCGTAAATGTTGTATTACGCAATATACATATATATATATATATTTCTTCAAGCTTCGTTGATTTGAAGGTATATGCACGTGCGTAAGCGAAAATATATTTATATGCCAGATAAACCAGTTTCTTCTGCCTTTCCATTGAAATTTTTATTTGTTCAATTTTTTATTTAAAATCTTCGTCCAAAGTTGTTTGATGAATTTTAAAAATGATGAAGAAAGTTAGCAAGTTGTTGTTCCTATCGGTGAACGTTAATGATATTTAATTATTAATATAGAAAGTGAATGGAATATTAGACGTAAAAAAAAAGTAGTGAAAATTGATTAGAAATTATAAGATGGAATCAAATACAATTTGTAACCTGAACGAGTCATTGACCAACAGTTATTAATCTCTCCGTTATAAAAATATGCCAATGGTTTTCTCTTAAAACCAAAAACGTCGTCAATGATGTAACCTACGTATCAAAGCGAATTCTCGAAATCCAGACAAAGTTAAGCTAAGTGAAAGGAAGGATATACACCTTGGTATATACCTGGGTATATGCGAGGTCAATCCGCATAATCGGTGATCGACTGAAAAGAACAAAGAGAACTCGAGAAAGAAAGGGACTTCTCGTAGCACGAAATCGTTTCAAAGGAGTTAAGGTATTCGCATGAATAGGGGGTAGGGACGGAGGTAAAGACAGAGGTAAGGACGGGGGCAAGGTGGAGAGGGGTCAACTCTTCTCCTCTTTCGTTTGCTACTCACGGAGAGGAAAGAAAACTGGTTTTCTTACAGGATCAGAGGTCTTAGCGGACCTCTCTTGAATTTTTTATATTACTTTGTTTTCATCTTTTTTTTTTTTTTTTACGACTGCTTAATTTATTTAACCAAAAGGAATTCCTTCACGAAGAAACGCGTGTTATATTGATCTAACACATCTTACACACATACGTCGTGTTGTATACCCGTTGTATACATAAAATATTCAGAAACATTGTTATACCAAGCTTGTACCCTCTTGGAGGTCACACGTTCGATCAATGAGAGGTGATACTGATAACGGTGATAACGATAAGATAAGGTAATACGACCAACTCATTTTCGATTGTTTTTTATTTTTCAACATTTCGAGATAACACGATTATTATTGACATTGTAAAATGAACGAGCTGGGAGTGAAAATTGAAAAAAAAAATTTGTATTCTAAATGTCCTCGTTCTCCATCATTCGTTGAGTTCGATCTATTTGAAGCTTCGCTTTAGATGATTTCTCCTTGGAAGATATTTATATCGATCGGCGGCCTAACTCGAATTTGATATCCAACAGACTTGAGGAAGAAATAAAGAAGAAGAAAAAAATCTGTAGGTTTGCGTCATCGTAAGAAATGTGTTGTTTTTTTGTTAGGTTTATTTTTATCTATCGAGGCAAGCTCGAATTTGATATTCGACGGACGTAGTTTAAAAGAGTTGGTTTGGTAGCAAATGCTGATGGTACTTGGTGGTAGTCGTCGTTTAAAAGTCGACGGAGTTTATCGAGCTGGAAGGTATGGCCTTGGTCTCCCGTGGTTACTCATCGACCGATCGCTCGCTAAGCGTAAGGTAGACTCCAGTTCAACTTAGAGAACACAGTTCACCGATCCCCTAAAGTCCGTCAAAGGACGACGATCTCTCATTCGATGAAGGAGGAGGACTTTAAATGCACTTCCTACAGTTATAATCATTTCATTATAAACAGACCTACAAACATACATCAAAAAACTAATAGCACGTTTTTGTCATCAATGAAAAAAAAGCCTCCCTGATAGATTGACTTCTCTGATAAGACTTCTTTGGTTCACGCAAGACACAAGCCAGACCTTTAACAAGATCAAATGCATACCAAAGTGCACGCTGAGTGTACACGTGCAAACGGTACAACAGATAGAAAGAGAACGAAGATGTTCCCTATAGCAAACTCCCGCAATAGCCGATAACACTAACAACTTATGAGAACGGACGAAGACAGAGAAAAAAGATTTTATTTTTCAAACCGATCTCTCGTGACTCACAAGAACCGATCCCGTTCTTCGAGAATACCAATACACCTACAAACGAGCATATGTGGAAAGAAGAAGACATACATACACCCACGTATATATGAGAAAATAAGTTTGCGTTTATCCCGCACTCCTTTCTTGGGAAAATTTATTCAAACTTGACCTCAGGTACAATGAAAGATCGTGGATCCAATAAGAAAGTAGTCGCTTCCGTGAAAAATATCACCTGCCAGTTCCTTTTTTTTTTTTTTTTTTCTAATAAAGGAAAATTTGATGGAGAGATGAATTTGTAATCGTAGATGAAATCAAACACACTAATATTTTCAACTTGATACAATTGTAAACAAGTAATAAGATTATTTTATAAGTTATTTAGTAAAATCTAATGAAAAAGTAATTTGTGCGATTGAATGGTCACCCTCATTTCCTTATTTCATTTGTACAATAATTTTCCTTTCTATATCGAACGGAAGTACCGTCTCGAGGTCTACCATTAAATCGAATTGTAAGTATTCCGGAAGGGGCTTTCCTTCGTCTCTTCGCTTATAAACATGTTATATACATAAGTGATCAAGACCGGACGTCTTTCGAATTTTTAAACAATAAACCGAAAAGAAAAGAAAAGAAAAGAAATAAGCAAAAAATGAAGAGAGGAAAATAATTTCTCTTTCGTTGGAATGATCATTGAAGAGAAACGAAAGTACTTTTGAAATCGGCCCAAAACGAAAAAAAAGAAAAAATAAAAGACCAGCAGATCATAACTTTCTAATAATTATATTTAAATTTGCATAAATAATCAAGATAATTTATAATATAAATAATTATTATACTTGAGATGGTGATTCAAAGAAGAAGAAGAAAAAAAAATAATAAATGACTTAGGACAATTTGAAAAGAAAAACTACGAACAAGATTGCAAATTAGATCCTGAGTCATTTTACGACTCATCGATTTCTCATATTTTAAATCAATTCGATCCTTGTTATTTGAGAATAACAAGATTTTCATTTTCAACGCTAAATAATATTTACTAAGAAAAAAAGACAAATAAAAGATGGTGTAATGTTAAACAAAGTGAAATGATGAGTCATGCAACTTCAAATTATTTCCGCGAGTATATTTGAATTATTACTATGATTAGATAGTGCAAACAACAAAATATAATGTTTTACCTATCGTTAATAATTAGGTTGGTGACGTTGAGTAAAATGCTACCAATCGAAATTTGGAAAGTATCATAAGAATATATATATGCTTGGTGATTCTAATCGTTTCATTGTTTAGAATTGCAATCGTGTATGCATGTATGTGCAAAGATATATCGTTGATAAAGTGATACGGATACGTTTATCAGATTAGTAGATCTCCCTTCATTAAATCTTCTTCTTCTTCTTCTTCTGCTTCTGCTTCTGCTTCTGTTCTGTTTCGGTTTGGAATCAACCCAGTTTTTTCTATTACATTTTTAATAAACTTTCTACAATCTACTGAAAGAGAAAACGTTCCTATTATACTCTACTACAAATATTTTGTCTATACCGTCATATAGAAATAAAATAATTAATAAATCAAAATGTTCAAATAATTCGTAGAAAAAGAGGATAATAATAAAAAGAAAAAAAAAGAAGAAGAAGAAGAATACTTGGAAAGAAAAGAAAATGTATGATTTCTCACGTCGATTTCGATACTAGGTACTATATAAAGTAATTCGACGATGAGAGAAAAGAAATCTAATGGTGAAGAAACTGTAATTGTTTCAATCCTAAATTGTTTACTATTTTGAAATTTTGTGTGTGTTTTTTTTTTTTTTTTGTAAACACGATACGCACTCGCCTACCTACAATTCGCATTACCTTCGTAATTTCTTCTAAACCGATACTAAATCGTATTATACGAGGATTCGTTTACTTTCACTGAAAGAAAAGGATCGTTCTATTCGGTAGCTGTTTGAATAAGTTCAAGAAGGATGGAAGATCATAATATCGAAAGCAATGATCCGACACGAGTCTGTGGTATAATAGAAGCCAGCTGACTAATTCTAAAAGAGGAAAGGTAAGCAAGTAAGCAAGCTAACTACTACGATTTGCTAAGGAAATTCCACGATGATCCGGGTTAAAGAAGTTACGTCATAAAACTTCGTTTTTACCTTCTTAAATGAAGCTAATTCATCGTAAATTAATGCTAACTGATCTATTCTCGATCGTGCTGTTTACTCTCAAATTAGAATCCCGTGTCTTGTAACATGAATATTATATTTCTTTTCAATTACAAATTAGATTGTATATTTTAATTTTTTTTATATCCTATTGTTTATACGAATAAATTCTATTTGATTAGAATTAAATATAAATATATCCAATATATCTTATTTTAAGATAGCAAATATCGATTGGTTTCAAAACATCGTGACTAACCACTGTAAGTGTATGATCATTGCACAACCATAACAGCATAATACGAGAATTAACAGAGTGAGTGGAAAGAAAGAACGGATAATTAAGTAACTATACCGCTATATAATCTCTCCCTTCTTTCTCTTCTCTCCTGATACTCGCCTTCATCTCCAAACCAATCGTGAATCATATTTA